GTGACCGGACGTGTGGACTGGTCGACTCGCCCAAGTCGTTCTACGTCGACGATTAGCCTTCTCCTCTGCTCGTGAGCCAACACACAAGGTCTTCCTAATATCCCGGTCACGAAACCTGTAGCTTTTTTACTTTCTTACTCCTCAGTATCCTTCCTTCTTCAACTACTCGTACATACGTCTTCGTAGGGGCCATTACACGAACTGTACGCACCCCGTTCGTTAGGAACGCGGCAACATTCGCCGCATGTATTCCGATGCATAATCGGCGACGATAATGTCGAAGAAATCACAGTGATTCTTGATCGTTCACCGGGTACTACTCGTTTCGATATTCCCCCGGTGTCGTGATTTCATCGAAACCATCACGCGATTATCCGCTTTTCATTCATCGACTTTTTTTCTTCTTTCTGTCCGCTAGTCGACGATGATCGGCGACGCGACCGTAAATAACGTGGCAGGGACATGGAAATTAAGCGGCGAGATAGCACGCCGTTTCCCTCGCCAGGAAATACTATCTAGATAGCGGTAGAGAACCCCGAAGAGCCGAGCAATTTCGCTAATGTCTTGGTCACGACTCGCTTCTGAATCCTTAAAACGGGTTTCCAATCTGATCTCCTCTCTGGATCCTTCACAACGACGCCGTCCCAGATTCTCCTCCGCGAACGAAATAGCTCTGGCTGTTAACATTAACAACGTCTTACTCGGACTCGCAATGAAAAACCAGATGAGATCTTGTCCTACCGAAGCTACCAGCTTCGTGGACCTACCCTCTGACACCCTACCTTCCATCGAGCCTGGTGAAAGTTCCTGACCTATATCGATGGATCTTCCGACGAATATAGGTCCTTCGTCCATAAATCTTGCTTCAGACGATGACTTACCGAGCGGCTTTATCCGCCGACCATCCACCCACGCTCGAGTTTCGAACAATATCTCACTTTCGTGGATCTTGTCAGGGTAAACGGGACGATTGTACCGTGAAATTTAAGAGTATACAAATTCAAATATTTTCCCTTCCAACGTTCGCTTCTTCAAACTACGTATTTCTTTGGATCGGGTAACAAAGGCTAGGGCAATCTTCTCGTTACACGGTGATACCGAGATCCAGCGTGTAACGGGCCGAGGGTTTCAGGGTAGTCTGTTAAACACGACCGATAATAATGGTACTTGTTCGAGCGAGCGTGTACCGTAATAGACGAGATTAACCGCGTGAAAAGAAGAAAAGGAAGTCGCGAAGAAAGCGGCACACGCGGTTATAAATAAGACGATAAGACCTCCTCGTCTCGCGATTGTACGCTCTAAAGATGTACTGGATCGACGTCTCGCAGACAACGTGGGCGTTCAATCCGGCTTGATAACGTTGGCAAAGTTGCTCTTTCTCTATTGTCTGAACAGGTATCCGGGAGAGTGTCTGCCGTTTGCAAATAGAATACGTACTTTTTCTAATTTTCAATCAGAGGATTTATTTATAATTGATGGATAACCAATGGAACATCGAAAGATTCGTGTTAAACAAAACGACCGACACGGTTCGTCGTGCGAAACGTAAACGAAAGGACAGGGTGGCGTGCGTACGAGCGACGTAGGTGGCACAGGAGCGGTAAGAGGAGAAAAGGTGAGAAAGACGGGGCCAAGAAGTCGGCCACGGCAAGAAAGGAGTCTCCTTGCGCGATAACGCCTGCATACATCTGCGCGTCGTGTCAGGACCAGATGAACTCCGCGATTAAAGATAAATGAACACGCTGAGTTTGCCCATTTGCTCGATCTCTCTATAACGCGACGGCAACACGAGACGCGTCCAACTTTTCCCCCGAGAAACTGAACAGAATCTACCTGTGTTTCGTGTAGCTACTCGCAAACGATGAAGACGAAACTGGGAAACTTGCCAATACAAAGGGAAAAATCCACACGACCCGGTACCACGATCGTCTGATTACTTTCAACTGACCTTTTCCTACTACGATCATTGGTTTCTCGTTAGATCCTCGCGAGATTAACCCAAGCTACGAATACGCTCGTCTGTGCAACAGGGTACTTAAAATTCCTTCTCTCAAACCATTCGTGGAAAGTTCATGGAATATCGCAACGAAATATCATTTTCTTAGATGCCCGAGACAAATTGGACTTAGATATGCTTACACAAAAGAAATTAACAGCTGACAGATATTCGTAATTGTAAGGAATTTGTTGAACCTCTCGGACGGCGGACCATGGAGAGAGCCACGTTTCACTTTAAATTAATATCCTTGCATGTTTTGCAAGACGCAGACTGCGATGTTTAAGAGTTAAATATTTGAACGTTCATTTCTTTTACACCGTAAACCTTCCGTCTGTGCATCATTATTCGATAAGATCCCGGTGTAAATGAATTTTTAAGGAGTGCACGTGTGCGACATTGTTTGCTGCTTTTCTATTTGACGAAGCTACGAGGCCCGTTTCGAAGGTGGTGATTTGGCGAGAGGTGCGAGCATGTTGGCAATTTTCTTCGCATTATACCTCTCGTTACACCTACGCTCGGTTCACTGATCGACGCTTCGGTCCTCTCGTTTTTAACCCGCGACGCGACCGCTTCCGTTCTTTTCGCGAACGATGAACTTGTACGGTTTTCGCACACGTGCAACATGCTGTTAAATTGTATGGAAATGATCGAGCCTCGATCGCGTTTCACTTTGCTCGTTAATTCCGTCGATTGCGAGCAACATCAGCTGTCGCTCGGAGCGGTTCGAGGAAATTACCCCTTTCGCTTAGGCGAAAAATCACGCTATACGAGCGTTTGCCAGCGATCAAACCCTTTCCGCGTATCGCTTTAACTTACCTGATTTATTTCAATAAAGGAAACATCGTAAAATTTCCAAATTCCAACGCGTATCTCTTCTAATTTATTGCATAAAAAGAAGTGTTCGCTACGATACCTGATACGTTACTTCGAACGAAATTGAATTTATTGGCAAACTGGATATAACGAACGGAATAAACGAACCGCGAACAGATAACATTGTTTCTGTTAGAACGACAGTGTCGCCGGATGATTTATTAGAAAAGTACGACGATCAATTTTTTAAAGAACAATAATCTCGAACGCGACAAGTAATACACAAGATTTATGCCCGTCTCTCGTTTGATGGAGCAATCATTTATTCTCTTTATTAATTGATTATTCAGTCCCGATCGCGTACGCGATGATATATGACCCCTGTACGAGTACTCCGTTAAGAACAGGAATCTACTAGTCGCGCGTGCATAAATTACCAACGCTGATAACGAAGCCCACGCATTTTCTCGAGATCTTGTTTTTCTTTTCGTCTCGTTCGTGTGTCATGTCCAGTTGCTGGCGGTGTCGGGGACGGCTAAATAAAACCGGCGGAAAGCGTTTCTTCACACTTGAACCAGGTAAAAAAAAACGACGATTCTGACCGTGCGATAAATCCGATAATAGTGAATTATGTTCATGAATTATTCCGTCGATGGTTTTCGTTACTTTCGATCGGAAACTAATCGTTATCAACAGATGATATACTTTGTAGGATGAATACAAAGCGTGCGTCTAAACTTGTTGTCATCGATGAAACTATAATTTTTAGAGCTGTTTTTCATCTACAAAATATACAGTGGGCCACAAAATTATTCGCTCACCGTTTAAAACAGAATACCTCGTTTAAAATTGGACCAATGACTTAAGGTTTCTCGAGAAGCTATAAAAATTAATTAACTGAGATATGTGCTTTTGTTGTTATAAAAAATTACAATTTGTTGAAACCGAGAGAAAAAATATTAAAGGGTAATTTTTCAACTTCTTTATAAGAGCCTTTAATGAAAATTTAAAATATATCTTTCGTAGATTCAAATAAGTTATGTGTGTGGTGAAAATTTCATATTTTAAATTTTCATTACAGACTCAAATAAAAAAATTGAAAAATTGCCTTTTACTATTATTTTCCCAATTTCGACAAATTGTAATTTTTTAAAACGACAAAAGTACTTAGTAAATTAATTTCTATAGCTTCTCGAGAAACCTCAAATCATTTGGTCCAATTTTAAACGAGATATTTTGTTTTAAACGGTGAGCGAATAATTCTGTGATCCACTATATATACATAATGAATAAAATGTCTGACACTAGAAGGAAAATTAAGCGACCTTGTATGACTGAAAGTCTTCGAAACTCGTCTTCCAAAGAAAGGGGGAACAAGAGGAAGATCCACGTGGCCACAGTGGCCAAGTGAAAGAATGCGGTTGCACCGCGTACAGGTTGCTCCGTTGCAACCAGAAATTAGATGAAGATAGAGGAACGTGATGCATCGTCGAGATTAGCCCAATAGCAGGAGGCCCATTACAGATAAAGTTTTATAAGAACCAAGGGTCCATTACATCAATCGCACCTGATTCGTGAAATTATTCGAGATTAATCCGCGAGGCAATCCAGAGTTAGTTAATCTTTCTCAAAACGTATAATTGGAAACGTTAATTGGGTTACACGAACGCCGCAAGATAAGCTCTTTGTTACGTGTATCAAAGTGACAATGACCCGTTAGGAAGAGAGAAAAATGTTAATTAGACGCCTGAGACGAGTGGTGGCCATGGAACAATGCCAGCCTATCGCTCGAAATGCACGCCGGGAAGGCGGAACTTAACCTCATTTCATGATCGCAACTTTGTTTGAAAGATAAAATTAAAATCGTTAAAATTGCCGAGATCTGAAAACCCCATCTTGAAATAAATACGCTATGAATAATTTTCATGGGTTTGTATACTGTTTGTCTAACTGTTACGAGGATACATTAAACGCAATGGCTGTACATGGATCGCGTCGCGACAAGCTCCTGTATATGCAGTTACATCACCCCCCACTACAACTCCCTATTTCTTTACTTTCTGTTAAGTCGTTAAAATAGACGAAAAGACTAATAAAAGTTAACTCTTTCGTTGCATAAAACATGCATACATATAGTATAAATAAGTGTTTGATAATAAAATATATGAAAAAAAATATGGCCACTTACTTGAGAAGCACCCGTTAGATCCGAGAAGGTTGATGTTCATAGCGTACCGAATGTACGTGAAAACGTGTAATTTCGCGTACATACCGGCTCTCTTTTGCCAAAGACTCGTTTCTGTACACCGTACGCGTTAACTCGAACCAACACTTTGTATTAAGGTCCGTCGTATCACGATTTTCACCCGTACAAACTTTCGAACAAATATTATATTCACCGCGTCGCGATTCAACTTCGGCCCGGTCGATAGTCAGCTGGTGATACGAAGGTGGAATCAGTCAGGATTCGTGGAGAACAGAGTGGTCACAGTATAGCTCGTCGTTCCCCGGCAACATCAGCCTCGCCACTATTCCCTGGTTGCACATGTTCCTCGCTATTAAGCAGACTTCACACTGACCGGTATCTCTGAACGCGTCAATGATCGAGATAGTATCGTCGACCGATTCCAACCTCCGACAAGAAGCTGTCAAAAATGACGTTACTACATAAGCGATATGTTCGACCCACGCTGATTGGTTGACAGAGAGTCAATATCAATGCCCCAATCAGAATGAAGGTTATGTGTCTTTGCATGGAGATTCCAAAATTTCTCTATCGTATAATTTGTCAAAGATATAATGTTTTCACATTTAGATCGTAGATAATTGAATCACTTGTAATACAACTTATCGTACACGCATAGATTTCAATAGAGACAAGCGTGTACTTCGTTCCAGACGATCAAAAAAAATATACGATGAATTCGTGACACGCGGTAATCGTGACAGTTCGGTATGCGCAGACGCGAATTCTTGGCGCGCGACAAACAACGTAATGACCGTCAATGTTAATCCCGACGTGCTTCTACTACCAAGAAAACAAAACTAATCGCCGGCACGGTCGATAGGACGTCCGTTCTCTTATATTTTTCACACCAAACTCACGCACCCGCGTTCCTTCGCACGTCACGCGTAAGACTGACATTCCAGGTCAAGCGTCCCTGTCGAATTCTGATTCGTCAAATTGTCGTGAGGAAAGGGGTGGGGGGCGACGTCTCTCATCCGTGCGGTAAATGTAAATTTCTAGCACGATACATCCATCATTTCACGAATAATAATTGATTTTGTACTTTCTAATTATTTCCGATTACAATAGAATGTGAATATAAACAATTTCGATTATAGGATAAAAAAGACGTAACTGATAAGACAAAAAAAAAATCCCTACGCGTATACATCAACACACATACCACGCCATACGTATCAATAGAAATTAAATTAATACCTTGAAAGAAACGATAGCGAAAAAGTATCTCCATGCAAAAGCCCATCTTATCGGTACAAGGAATCAAATAAAGAAACGTTCTAAAGTTACCTCTGACCGAGCAGCAGGTCTTGGCTGACCAATCGAACTCAAGGGATCTTCACCGCCTCTCAGCTCGTTTGACTAACTTATTTCAAGATTGGTTCCGTCGGTTTGAAACGCGAGTCCTTGTCGGCACGATCGAACGTGCGTGTCCATGCGGAAAATCTGTGTACCCCTGCCTCGTACTACAAGACTTAAATGATACGTGCAGTACAATGAACACCGTTCAAAGTACGTACGTTTGATTCGCGTGATAAGCTAACTCGCGATTGTTATTCAAATGTTTGCCCGGCCTAAGAAGAGTACTTAGTTCGCGTAGTTGAGTGCGGGCGTAATAAGACTGCCTGCTGACGGCGGTAGCGCGGTTCGTGCCCGCAAGCGGCAGCCACAGCCAGGGAAGCCCCTCTACCATGGCACTCTCCTGCAACTCCTCCAAGCAAGCCAGCCAGCCATCCGTGCCGACTTACCTGCCTACCAGGCCTCAGAGTGGGTCCCGGTACCGGAGTTCCATCCTGAATCGAAATGGTTGCTTTGCTTTCTATCCTTTGCGCGAATCATGCGAAGCTTCGGGCACGTTTCGCTCCAGGGGACCGAAAGGGGTCCCCACGTACTGGATTTTGCCTGAGGCTACACAGTCGATAAAGGAGTTTTATGATCTAACTTATAATGATGAATTTTTTTTATGTATTATCAGATATTGAAATACTGAAGTTATTAACGGATATTTTACAAGCAGAGCTGGTTCATACTTTAGGAGACATTTAATATCAAAGAGCTAAGAACTATGTTGAATAAAATTGAAGGAAATTGTTTTTATAATATACATTTCTTGATATTAATTACCTGCTTCTATTTTCAAAGATTTAATTGATTTTAGTGTTAAATCATCGTTAACTACTATTGCTTCGTGACCTTTTTTCTTAAAGGTTCAGAAGCTTTATTTTTATGTTTTTCAATTTGATATATTAATGCACTGTTAGAAAACAGTACTGCCACCGCCATCTCACCTTGAGCAGAGAAACTAATAAAATTTTCTACACTTCTCTATTTCAATTATTTTATTAAAAATTAACTAAAGTAATCTTAATACCTGTTTTATGATAAAACGTCTCGGTAACACTGGGTAGCACTCTCTAAGGAAAGCAAACTTTAAGTTTCTTTTTATTTGGTGAACGGTGGTCCGAGTTTCCTCAGCTTCTGCAAGAGATTCGGTTTCGTGACCAATGCCTTCTCGATCGAATCGATCAACACTTGTTCCTCGTTGTACGGTGGAAATGGCATTCCCTCTAAATTATAAACATACACAACACCCTCAACGTCTGCCACCACCAGCTGATTACCGTCTAACGTGAAATCAATCAGAACGAATCTGGCACTGTTAGGTGACACCGTAATGGACGAGGGAGCGTGCGTTTTCCTTTTGATGTCCCATATGCAAATCTCGTTGTTAACAATACTGGCGATGATTGTAGAATGAATAGGACACCACGTGGCGCATCGAACGCAGGCCATCGTCGTAGACATCGTGATTAATGGTTCCGTGAGCCCTTCCGCCCAGACTCGAATGTACCAATCGGCGCCACAGGTTAAAAAGATTTTCGGACAATAAGGAGAGAACATCATCGAATATACCGGTCCGTCGTGCGCCAGAAAACTATCTATGTGTTGATACAGATAATTCGTGGAACATTTATAAATGCAGCCCTCGTCCGAACCGACGAAGTAAAGGGTGCTAGAGGTCGGATGCCTACGGAGCACCAACGCTCCAGGACTTCGATTGAACGACGCGTTGTAAATATTGCAATGGGAAGTTCTGTTAACACCCGGTAGCGTGCCTTCTATTCTAAAGATTTTCATCAACTTCGTCGAGGTGAAGTCTTTAACGTATCTATAACAATATATACCACCGTCTTGATCGCAGGTATAGATCTGTTCCTGATACTCGAACTGCTCGTCACTGGCCCACCATTGAACTTGCCACTGAGGTGAACTCGAAGGGGATGTCGCCTTCGTGCTTCGTCGCACGATGTTCATTTTTCTGCTGCTCGCGTCGAGCACTATGATCTCGCCACTGTACAAACCAATGGCCAGCAGATTCGGTCGTTCCCGACTCCAATCAATGTCCGCCACGGGACTATCGAAAATGAAACGTCGAGCTGGGATGTCAGGATTCTTTGCGCTCCAAATCAACACCAGACCGTTCGCAATTTGAGACTTCGCTTTTGCTCCATATCCGACCGCTAAAATGCTCTTTCTAACGTAATTCCAACGAAAAGCGGACACCGGCCTTCCGTGATTCATTTCACAATTATTAGTCCAGAGAAGATCCAAACTGTAGGTGAATTCTAAGTCAAGGCTACAGGGATCCGGCTTGATCAACCCTGTGAAACGTTTCTGAGCATGGATGAATATATTGCTCGCTATTATACGTTCCATCACCCGTACAGCGTTCCAGAAATTAATGCTTTGAAACATGGACGTTGATTCCTCTTCAGATACAGTTGTTCCTAACTGCATCTTCGTTTTTGGCAATCTGGACTTTAATTCCTATGAATTAAAAATTCAGTTAATTATTCATACATTCCTATACAGTTGATTAATTAAAGATTATTCCAGACCTCTGCTTGTAACAATTGTTGCATAGATTCTTTCGTGTGTACTACGAATAGATTATTTTTCTTAAGCATCATCTCAGGTGCGGCATAGACGTCGTGGATTACCCAATTATTTACGAACATGCCTTGATTTCTACGTTTCTGTAGGGTGAGATACGTTCCTCGGGATTGCGTGAGCACTTGTATCGTCTGAGTTTCGGAATCTACCAATTTCCTGTTTGATCCAGGCCCAACTGTTTTATACTCGTAATTCTCATTTTCTTCTTTAATCGCCATGCCTTCCGGCGTGTGTAAATCACCCGTACGCGGTTGCATCTCGAAAAGGAAGAACGTCTCTGTTTCCCTCAGAATGATCGTCACAGTCTCTGGTCGGGTAGGAAAAATGTTTGGATCGATACTGGAATAAACAAAGAAGTTTTAGAAAATAAAAATGTTTCTACTTGTTTGTTAACTTTACATAGCTGCTACATCAGTCCAATATCGGAATCTGGGACTCACATTCAAATTACCTAGGTAGATAAAACTGAGAAGGAGCTCTATCCTCGTCTCGAACAAAGGAATCCACTGTTTGAGTGGATAATAAACTTTCAAAATGTACATCATCCTCTAGAATCGAGCCAAGAGGGGCGGAAGACGTTCTGACAATCGAGAATGAACTTGTTTTCATGCCACTCAAACCGGAAGGGGATGGCAGCAATTGACTTCCGCTTACGCTAGCCTGAGACAATCCAATTGTTTCAAATGCAGTCATCTGCCGTTCGTCGATTGAGCTTAACGTTGGATGGGTTAATAATTTTGGTGTCACATCGATATCGTTATCTATAACGTGAAATGTTTGTCGTTGTCGCAAAAGAATTGAGGTTAAGTTCTTTCCCGCTATCTTCCGCGTCCTTCCTACTCCGCTCAGTTTAAATTTCGACGAAACTGGACTCTCGAATTTGGTACTCGGGACTCTTGAAAGAATCTTTTGCGACGATTCTGTTTCTTCCACCTTCATTCTAAAATAATTAAATATTGTATATTTTACCAAATTAACGATTTATTCTGTTAATACCTGATGCTGAGTAGTTTTCTTTCTATGTATTAATGTTGTTATTTAATAGTCTTCAGAAGACTAGTAAATTGTTGATCTTAACGTTTCATGAAACACTTTTTACGCTTTCTAATTACTTTGTTGTTTTTTTTCACTTCTGATCTATTTCAACACGCTTCAAAGACGAACGCTTCAAGTAGCATATTTATCTACAGGCTCCATGGTGATGTAGAAATCAATTTTACAGTAACTGCCGTTTTGTCGATATTTCAAAACAATTGTAAAAATTATAGTTCATGTTTCAATTGTACCTACAAATAAGTAAATTTTCAAATACTTATCTTGTTATTATGATACGAAAAATTCTTGATAATATACAAACATGATTAGATATGTATCTATTGAATTTTTATCTGCATCCGTGTTTCCAATGCGATAATAACAGATTTTAATAATGATAAGTGACATGACTTGAACTGACAGAAAATGAACGAATAAACGTTGTCCATTGTAGAACAATTCAAAGTACCCTGCAAAATGGCATTGATTTACATCGATCACGTACTCTGGCGATACAATAAGGAACTTTATATTAACTGCGTTGTATAAACGGTCGATAAAAAGCGATCATGTAGCCAGAGTACGGCGTTAATCAAATGGTAGTTTTAAGGAATTGTATTGTAATCTGAATTCGACAATTGTAATTGTTGTTGAGATACAAACGAGTAAAATAAAAGGAATAGTACATGACATTGGTATCGAACGATGATTAGAGATAACATTAATCGTAGATAAATGTTGACGCTTTGTCGTCAAATCTCTTACGTGTTATTTCGAACATCCGTTTCGCGAAAAATCATGAAAATCAACTGATGGCACTTGCGCAATTGCGACAGCGGCATACGTGATACGTCAGATTATTTTGTAACAAGTGTTAAGTTTGCAAAAGTATAATTTGTTAAGGGAGCCCTGCAATCAAAAGAGCGAAGTGAGTTACATGAATTATGCTCAGCAATGGCAGACACTGCTTGATTCGTATTATATTTCGACGAAGTTCACAACTTTTTCTTCCACTCTCGTTAAACGTCACCTGACTAACTTCGTTCGTTCTTCAATTTTTGCCTAATATCTTGATAAAAAAGATTAATCTGTACGTGATAGTTTGTTGTTTTCCATAAGAAACGTATTATACACATCAATGTTAAATTTGACTACTTATAAAATTCTGTGCTTTTGTCATAGACATATGACTTCCGATCTTGTTCATGGATACCTAATCTGTGACATTATCAATGCCAATAGATTCAGAAAAAACGACATTAAATAATTCTGAATGCAAATTGCATATTTATATTCATCATATATATTTTTAACCTTTCGTATCTTCTGGTATTTATGTTTAATATTGTTAGGTGTTACAAGATGTTTTACAAGGACTGTCATATTGTTTTCCCAAAATTGTTCTTTTCGTTACGATAATGTTTCTAATGTCAAGTGATAAATAGCTTTTTAACATCCTTGAAAATTTGTGTTTATTTATTTAGGATACAATGTAAAACAGCATGCATTTTCTTACTTTCACCTTTTGCATTTTGCATTCTGGCACCCAAACAAAATAATTTGTTAATTTCTAAGTGTGTGTATATTTTTATTAAGGGATAATAATAGCGGTTTTTCTTTTCTAAGAAAACTTTTCAAGATGAGCACCACAAGGGAACAGGCAGGTCCTTCTAAACCATGGGACTCTGCTACAGAAGAAAAAGAAAAAGATAATCGCACATTTGAATGTAATATTTGTCTTGATACAGCGAAAGATGCAGTAATTAGCATGTGTGGACATTTATTTTGGTACGATTCCTACAATGATATAATAGCAGTTAGTGTCATTGGCATATGCCATAAGGTTGATCATCATCGCACGGCTCAATAGACATTCAATATAGAACAAATATTGTGCTGTACATTTATACATATTCGTAATTGTGTTTTTAGTTGGCCCTGTTTACATCAATGGCTGGAAACTCGTCCAATAAAACAAACATGCCCTGTGTGTAAAGCTGCAATAAGCAAAGATAAAGTCATTCCCTTATATGGACGTGGAGCTACAAAGCATGAAGATCCAAGGTAAGATATACAATTATTCATGTATTATATCAGGAAAGTACCGAAGACTAAATTATATATTACTCTAGGAATAATGTTCCACCACGTCCTGCTGGACAGAGGACAGAACCAGAAAATAATGTTGGATTTCCTAGTTTTGGGTTTGGAGATGGTTCTTACATGTCTTTTGGTATTGGAACATTTCCTTTTGCATTTTTCACATCAACTTTCAATTTTGGAGAAACACGACCAAGTGCAGGTAAATAATTTATATAAACGAATCTGTGTATAATTATTGCATAAACCAGTTAAATTTACATATTTTTGTCTGTATAGCTGCTAGAGGAACACCACAGTATGAAGAAGAGCAATTCCTTTCCAAGGTATTTTTATGGGTGGCATTGATATTTATCTGTTGGCTCCTAATGGCGTAACATTTTTGTTCAACAATACTACTTGCTTCGTATCGTGTAATCTTATACGACTTGATGGATTGATTCATTACATTTTTATTAATAAGTCAGTCTTTTCCCGTTTGTAAAATTGTTGTTACTCACTGTAGTAAGTATACCTGCTTGAATAAACAAACGGGTTTTAATTGTTATAGCCGTAATAACATTTTTACATGTACATACACTTTGTTTATAATCTTTTGTGATTACACTAAAAAATAAATTTTGTATCTAAACATAAAATTATTAACGTCATTGATATTGTAAAGAAAATAATATAGGTTAGTTTCTTGTATTTACAATCATCACGTAAATACGTACGTGTGTATTCAAGCAGGTTATTTTCTTGGTTTCGAAAATTCTGAAGCCTATTCTTACGATATTTATGTACATGTATATATAAATATACCACCTTTAGATATGTAAGATATTATTTGTCTCATGCAAAACATAATTCATTTTAGCAAAAAACTTAATGAACATAGTTTTATTACGTCGACGTAGACCTTCACGGTTTACATTATCTATCGACGTAAACAGTATGATAATTTAGTTATTAAGTTATTGAGACCATGTGCAAACGAAACAAGTTGCAATTATATAATACACGATATTGTAATATAAGATAATATACATGAAAGATTAAGAACGTAATCTGCTTATTTATGTTTTGCTTTTGTTTGCATTGTGGTTACGGTATAGGAGACGAGAAGACAATTACAAAGTAGCAAATCATGATCATGTAATTATAAAAGTAACAAGTTTTCAGTCATTTATATTTTAGTACACATTCGCCGAGGCTCATGCATCTGGTACGTGAGGCTTTATTAGTTACATTGAATGGAAGTTGACATTCCATATACAGTAATATTAACACCTGAAAGTTACTGAATTTTACAAAAGAACTATTTTTAATTGAATACAAATATAATTCATAATACATGATTTGTAATTTCGTTAAGAATCAAACATTGTAAATTGTCTTATTAGTTTATTTAACATATATTATTAAAATAAAGTAGAAGTACGATATATTGCTTTTTTAAATAAAATCCCTTACTTTCCTATAATTACATGAAAAAAAATATTTCGTGAATTACATAATTTGAATATTAAATTGTATGATTTATTGGAGATTACAGATGTACATATACAGTAACACAAATTTAAATCATAACGTAACTTACTTAAGTTATTTAGTACATTCCACAACTATATTTTAATTTTGTTTTTGTTTCTGAATTTTTTGTTGATGTGCTCATATATTCAAATTTACGTTACAGTAAATAAAAAATAATCTCGTGCAAAGTATGAACAAAATGAATATGCATAGGATACCCTACTGCACAAGTTTCAGTTGTATAAGGAGCTATTTCCACTTTCATTAATCCATAAATTTTTGTATCGCATGACAACTAAAACTTTTGAGTAAGGAAGCCCAAATATCCTATAATGATCGATTTTGTCACAGTATGGATCTAGCAGTTGTATCACAGATTGCAGCTCCTCAGGGAGATAACATAACTCTCCCTCATCTATGTGAAAATGAGATACTTAAAAACAGCAATTAGTGCATTAAAAGGTCCCTACATTGTTTACTATTTGGTGCTTATAATGATAATTAATATTTTCAACTATTAAGAGAGTGCGATATATGAAGTTATACATATGAAATATGTATGTTTAATGAACCCTTTTTGCTACTTTACACGTACAACTTTAAGTTTAGGATATAATTACTATATTTAATTGGATATTTACTCGAAGTAATGCCTAATTCTATTTACAAATAAACATTAAAGGATAATATCAAAACAAACAATTAATAATACAGGCATGTTTATAGGGATAAGTTGATAATAAATATCATAAAATTATTCCTCAAATTTACAGATACTTATACATTTTTCATTTTCTATATTTCATCTTTTGTTGCTTTTCTTGTGAAACCTTTAGAAACTAGCAAATTATTGCATTCTTCCCGAGTTAAACTTGACAAAGGCAACCTTTCTACTTCCTGAAAAATACAAAATTCAAAACTACCTTATTACTATACTTCTGTTAATTACATTATACCTCGTCATTTTCATTGAAGAGAAGAAGTTCTGGGACTGCTCCTTGAATATGTTTAAATTCCACATTATTGCTATAAAATTTTGTAAGGATACATATGTATACATAGAAGAAGTTTTAAGTATAATTAAAATAATAAGTGGCTAAAAAATTACACGTTCTAAGATAATGATTCTTATGTAAGAATAATTATCTGTCCTTGATCAAAAATATAAAATTTCCAAAATTAAGAGACAAGAAATAATCTTGAACAAGAACACTGATCCAAGCACTATGTAATTTATAAATATGTACTATACTTCGACAATATTTAATTAAGGATACTAGTTCGGTACATCCTCGAAAATAAACTGTTTAACATCTGGGAGCCGGTTCAAGCGACAACCACTGCAGCTCTGGAAAGAGTTTATAGCGCTTTAAACTACTTTGATTTGACATAAAATTGTAATATGTTAAATAGGTAAACTTTGCGTTAATAAGATGAGACACAATGAATACCTCAACTCTTGCAAACGCATAATAATTGCTGACGGAATCAACAGTAGAAGTCACAAAAGCAGATGCAAGAAAGAAGATGACAGCTACCGTCGGGGCCATGTTTACTTCACTAAAGCGGAAATCATACTACCTAATCTTAACATCTTGTTTTCCATTATGTTTTCTCATTTTGTAAAATATTATTAAAGTTCTTTCTTATGTATACGACATGTATATTTAATTAAAAAAGATATATAAAAGAAATGATATTCCCCCAAATCTATATCATCGAAATTATTTTATTTCCTATTCTGCATTTTATAATTAATGACTAGAGTTTATCCAACTCAAATAACTTAATATTTGTAGTATCAAGTATATATCTTCTAATTTTATAAATATAATATTTAAACTTATAGAAAAACTAATTTTAATAAATTCAACTTATGTGTCATGCGCAGGAAGTTGATCTTGCGTGTGTGAAAATGGCGCTTTCTTGTGCAAGTAAGTTACTTGCTTATATTATTGTTGTTTCTTTAGAAACCAAAGTACTGATGCGAAATTTATATTTCCGAAGCGATGTCTTAATAGTAAAAATAAGCTTTTTGTCTTAGCATCAAGAGTTATGATTTATACCGGCATTTGCTAGACATAACCTAAACAATGTCGCATTACCGCCAATACCTCAGTAATTAAATATGTTTTTTCAGTTTCTAACGAAGTGCCGGAGCATCCAGTTATATCCCCTGTATCTGGATCTATATTTGAAAGGAGATTAATTGAAAAATATGTATCAGAAAATGGGGTAGATCCTATAAATGGAAAGGAGTTGACTGTGGATCAATTGATTGATGTTAAGAGTAAGATACTTTATATAATTTTAATGGCACTATCGAATTTCATATGATACTAACAATGCCTTTGCTTTTCTAGCTACTGCAATAGTTAAACCTAAACCACCAAGTGCCACATCCATTCCAGCTATATTAAAAATTTTACAAGATGAATGGGATGCTGTAATGTTGCATTCATTTACGCTTAGACAGCAGCTTCAAACTGCTCGTCAAGAATTATCACACGCTTTATATCAACATGATGCAGCATGTCGTGTAATTGCTAGGCTGACAAAGGAAGTAACAGCTGCCAGAGAAGCTTTGGCTACTTTGAAACCACAAGCAGGAATTGTTCAAGCTACTACTATTCCACAACCTGTATGAAGATGAATATATAAATTATCTAGTATTGCTGTAAACATAGAAATATGTACCGAGTAAATGTATTTTGTTGCAGGCGCTTGCAGTGGAAGCAGGTGGTACCGCGGCTCAACCTATGGAACAAGCCGGTATTACTGAGGATGTAATACAGAAACTTCAGGAGAGAGCTACAGTTCTCACACAAGAAAGGAAACGTCGCGGACGTTCAGTTCCTGAGGATCTACTTCCTCAGGACAGTATTCGTGCATTTCAAACGCTTGCATCTCATCCTGTAATATTGTACTTTATAATTATATTATCCAGTTTAAATTGTTCGATACATTGTTGCAATTTTCGTTTATATTCAAGGGTCTCCATTCTGCCAGTGTACCTGGAATACTTGCACTTGATATACACAGTGCAGATACTAGCAAGATCTTAACTGGTGGAGCTGACAAAAACGCTACAGTATTCAACAAAGATACAGAACAAGTTGTTGCAATATTGAAGGGGCATACCAAGAAGGTATATATTATCTACAGGTTCAACGTATTAGTAATATTTCCCTATGTTTAATAACCGTATTATAATTTAGGTTACTCGAGTAATTTATCATCCAGAGGAAGATATAGTAATGACTGCATCACCTGATACTACAATACGCGTATGGAATGTAGGAACTAGTCAAACAACATTGTTATTAAAAGCTCATGATGCTCCAGTGACTGGTCTCTCTTTACATCCAACAGGCGATTATTTACTTAGTTCGTCGTTAGATCAACACTGGGCGTTTTCGGACATACGTACTGGTCGTCTACTGACTAAGGTACACAAGCGGATTTCAGTGATAATTAAATTGCATCATGGTACATACATATTATTTATAATCGATTTTCTGATAGGTTGCAGGACAAGTTACTCAACCGCTAACTACGGCCCAATTCCATCCCGATGGATTGATTTTTGGCACTGGTACTGCAGATTCTCAAGTGAAAATTTGGGATCTAAAAGAGCAGTCGAATGTAGCTAATTTTCCGGGTCATTCAGGACCAATTACAGCGATTAGCTTTTCTGAAAATGGTTATTATTTAGCTACTGCAGCAGAAGATTCTTGTGTAAAACTTTGGGATTTACGAAAATTGAAAAACTTCAAAACCCTGCAGTTAGAAGAATCCTATGAAGTTCGAGATATTTGTTTCGATCAAAGTGGAACTTATTTGGCAGTAGCTGGAACGGATGTGAGGTAAGGATCTTATCCCGTGTGATTGAAGTTCAATCCTATAAGAAGATCGTTTGTTTATTTTGTTTTCAGAGTGTACTTGTGTAAGCAGTGGCAAGAATTGAAAGTGCTCAATGACCACACAGCTGCCGCAACCGGTGTTCGTTTTGGAAAACACGCGCAGTATATAGCTTCTACTAGTATGGACAGAACATTAAAACTTTATGGGTTACCTTGAATTTTTAGTACATTAATTTAATGACAATTTAAATTAGAATTTATAAAATAAGTTTACAGTGAATGGCAGTGACAGACATTTAATTCAGGTTTAGTATTTTGTTTTTTAAATTTATTAAAAACATCATTGGACTATCATGAAAAGAAATTTTATGACTATTGTAGATATTTCTTAAAATTATCATATACCGTAATTGCTATTATGTTTAGTTGAAGATCGAATGGTGAAAGATTGATATGTTTACTTTTGAAATAGAAAATAGGAACAAGATATTGATAAATAATCTTTCATAAATTAGAAGAAATTCTAATCTAAATTTAACATCTATACATAATATACACTGTTATAACAATAGTAAATACATTTATTCTACACATGAAAATGTGAAGAATAGGCAAATATGTTTTTAATTGCTAATGAATTTGTTTCCAATAACTTCTGAAACAAAGTACAAATATTAAATAGTAATTCATAAATTTAACATTATATAAACAATTATTTTTATGAGAAAAAAAAAGTTTTTCGTCTATGGCGTAACATTATATACTCAGCATACTTTTTAAAACAATGAAATAAAATTTGTTTTGAACAAACTGATTTACTTTATAATTATGTAGCTCTAACGCATTGAATGTATATTTAAGAATTGATTACAATTAAAAAGAAACGTATGAAGTATATAATGAGAAGTTAAATTACATGAATAGAAGACTCCCTCTGATTCTATTCTTTAATTTCAATGAATAATTTATATTAATTCCGCCTAAGCGTTTAACGATAATGTGGAAGAAACGTTCCCGTAGCATAAATTCAAAATCCCCTCAAAAGCAAAAGCGTGTCCAGTCTTGTTGAATCTGTAGTCATTACGTATGCATCGGTAATTAAGTTAAATGATCTTATGGCGCCACTAGTCACGTGCTTTTTAACCTAACCTAATATCCTTTGTCCTCAATATTCAGACTCGAATCAAATTAATAACAATGGCCGTCGTAGTTGGTTGTCATTCGGAGTCGTACACGGATTACGTGATGGTGAAAAACGTATGGCCAGTGGCAATCACTACTGATCGGTCCGAGTGATTATTCTTCAAATGAAATTAACGTGACGTGTACTACAATAAAGGATGCTTTTCTAGTGGGTGGTTGTATCGTAGTGTCAACTAGTGACCACGGATGACCAGCTGACAATGTTTTGTCATTAGCATATATTAGTGTTTAGCGGGTGATCGCGGTAAAACAAGAATGTTTAAAGCTGAGGAATCGTCCAGAGACAGCTTTCTTCAGCAAACGAAGGCCGCTAGGGAAGAAAGGGCCCACGAGAAAGACAGAGAAGCTGCTGTCACCCTAATTCAGGCTTATGTTAGAGGATGGTTAACTCGTAAAAAAATATTGTGAGTTTCCCGTTATCGAATCGTCTGGGAGCATTTGTTTACTGCCTGAGATAATTTAAATGTTCGGACTTTCTTAATATTGTAAACAAAATATTTTGTATTATTAATCTGACGTCGATAATTATTTATTTATATACTTTGTAATATTCCATTGGTCACTGAAATGTTTTGTATTTGTATTTTCCTGTTATAAAATTATCATACATGTATCAATACATACAAGGATAATCCATAATAACATTTGTATTTATTTTTAAATTCATTGTGTTCTCAAGCAATGAATTATGTTTTAAATCATTAAATGGGTAATATAATTTTCAGAGAAGAGTTTGATACAAATTTTTTCAATGATGCTGGTACAGAAGCAAGTATAGAATTAAAGCCTGCTTTGTATATGTATAAGATTATTTCTAAATTTTTGTATGTCTACAAGAAAGAAAGGGATCAAGGAAGAATAGAAAAGTTATGTAGGTATGTGCAAGTTTGTTCCTATAATATAATAAGAAAGTATGAAATAAGAAACAAAATTTCAAAAGAAATTTCTAAGAATAAATGTTTCAGGTATTTAGTATTGACTCTTGATTCAGAGTCACCGGAAATATCATATGTAGGACTCCTATTGAACAAAGATCATTACATATCATGGATATCACAAATGAAAACAATATTACTTTATTGTTTAACTGGTTTGGAGAATCTGAAACCAGAAAGAATAACTGATCATAAATCCATCCATTTGAGATTACATACATTAGTTAGTTTTACATCACCAGGAACATGGGCAATTCAAAAAGTAGAAGGAATGGAGAAGCTCAAAGCTGGTATGAACCGGCTATGCGCAAACATGATGGGCCACCTAGTCAACAATGGATTTTATCCTATTATGCAGGTGATTCATATTACTAACGATCTAAATGATGTTTAATATATCGTGTATTTTTCTGTTCTAGGTTTTTCTGGTAAAGGGATTAGGTAGAGTGGAAATTGCTTTAAAACCAATTGCACTTTCAGCAGCAGTTACATTGGCATTAAGGCCATTAATTTCTTCTCAAATGTCAGATAAACTGGTGTCATTATTTTTGATCAACATTTTTAGCGTGCCTGCATTGGTCTATCATTTAAATAATATATCATCAGTGGTATGTTGATAATAACATAGTATTTTTAAGCTTTCTGTTTACACTGTGTAATCGTTTTTACAATCTATTTTTAGTGTATTTCATCATTTATTACTTACAATTTATTTGCAAGAAGCCTTGAATTATTAAATTTAGAACAAAACCTTAGGATAGTTTTTAATGCTCTGGAAGGTAGCTATGCACTGTGCTTACTAGCCAACTTGATACAGTTGGCTAACATTGAAAGAGTTGAAGTATTAAAAGAGTTATACTTTCCTTCTTTTACGGTACAAATTTATCATACAATAGATCTTTTATGTAATTAACGAAATAAATTGATATTTTGAAAAAAATTTCCAGTTTGTAGTAACAAAAATGTTGGAATCATGTCAACAATATGTAGTTGCAAAACAAAGTAATTTAACCCACTGGCACCCCATTCTTGGATGGCTTGCGCAAAAGGTTGACACTTCTCTGCAAGAACCTATCCCGTATGTAAAATCACAGTTAGCATGTCTATGGACAGGAGGGATAGTGACACAATTAATCGGTAACCGTGACTGCTTTATTTTCCCAAATATATCTGTTAAAGTTAATATGAAAGGATGACATACAATTTTTTATTAGGTCAACCTTTAACGGAACTTATCGAAAAGGAAATACCTCCGCCAATAGAACAACAAAGTTCATCCGTTGGAACCAACATTTTTCGAAGAGCGTTTTTAGAAACTCGTACAAATAGAAATAATAATACTAAAAATTATAGAAAATTGGGTAGTCCAGAAACCACTAGGATAGCACTGATTTGTTCCCTTTACCAATTTGCTTTACATACCCTTACACAGATGAAGATGGAAATATTAACTGGTACGTATATACACATATGAGCAGTTATAATTTATCGTTACATGTATGTTCATGATGTAATAGGACTCTGCTACCAGGATAAAATTCTGTATCATATGTATTTATTTCTGGGAACATTGGGTCCGCATTGTGGTTTGAAAGCATTTTTAGATCATTTAGCTGCTAATACGAAATGTACAGCACCTGAATTTCAAATGTTAATATTATTTTCGGACTGTATGACACATTACGTGACGTAAGTATCTTACAATATTATGGAAATATATTTGGTGAAACTTCTTAAAATACATTTGTATTGTTACATTTTCTTTTTCAGAATTTTAGATGATATGGAAATGTACGAACAGCAAGATCCATTCAAGCTTAACGATTTTGTAACGATATCATATTTTTTAAACCAATTTTTATATAAGGCAGTTCTAAATAATTTGTTTGGTGCGTATTACAGCTTTTGCGTTATATCGTTTCTTAATGTATTTGAAATTGTATAATTTTACTATATACGGTTGTAAGCGATAAGTGGTTTAGCTATGTACTAAAGTTTTAGATGTTCCAGACGTGAAGTCGGTTCCTAATAATCCTCTGTTCACCTCTCTTCACACACTTTTAATGGCAATCTATCGACGGGACTGTAGAAGGACTTTCTGTCCGGAAGGGCACTGGTTGGCAAAGTTAAGTATTTATCACTAGCGTCTTTTTAGATTACACAGCGTGATTGTAGAATTGAAACGTTTATGAAACAGGAAGTTAGGGTATCTGGTTTCTTGGCGGACTTGGAGAAAGGCAAACGAGGTGCTGCTCTTCTTCTTTCTAAAATGCCTCATGTTATTCCTCATTCGGAACGCGTGGTACTCTTTCGTAAACACGTTGCTAATGAGAAAGCGGTGCTAGGATTGACTGAAAGCGCGTGTAACAGTACACCGACAACACTGATCGTTGTTCATAGGTACTGATATCATTTTTTAATTCTAAAAACATTATTCAAAGATATTAACGTGAATGCTTCGTAGAACACGTATAGTGGAAGATGGGTACCGTCAGCTCGCAATGTTACCGTCTCAGGCATTGAAAGGTGTGATTAGAGTTCGTTTCGTAAATGAGCAGGGCTTAGCCGAAGCTGGTATCGATCAAGACGGAGTGTTTAAAGAATTCTTAGAGGAAATAATAAAGAAAGTTTTCGATCCATCGTTAAATCTGTTTAAAGCCACTAGCGAAAATCGGCTTTATCCGTCTCCAACATCTTCCATGCAAGATAATCATTTGCAACTTTTTGAATTTGTTGGCCGGATGTTAGGTAAAGCGGTGTACGAAGTACGTATAACAGAAATAAGAAACAACGATGGATTTATGAATCACAAATTAAATTATTTACATTATTTTTTTTTATAGGGCATTGTCGTAGATGTACCTTTTGCGTCCTTCTTTGTTTCCCAATTTTCTGGGCAAACTGGAGGAGCATTGTACAGTTGGCTAGACGAACTGGCTTCTTTGGATCGTGATTTATATCGAAGTCTTACCCTCGTAAAGCATTACAAAGGCGATGTTAAGCAATTAGAATTAACTTTCTCTCTTGATGAAGACGTTCTAGGCAAATTAGTTACGCACGAGTTGATACCAGGAGGAAGAGCGGTGCCGGTCACCAATGAAAATAAAATTAATTACATACATTTAATGGCTCACTTTAGAATGCACATGCAAATAAAGGATCAGACAGCTGCTTTTATTAAAGGATTTCGTTCTATAATTAATCCCGAGTGGTTGGCGTTATTTTCAACTCCAGAAGTAAGATTAAGTCTCTTTAGGATTACAGTATTTTCAGGGGAAATTTTTCGTTAAAGTAACTCTATTTTTAGTTACAAAGATTAATTTCTGGTGATAATGTTCCATTGGATTTACGAGATTTACGAAGACACACGCAATACTATGGTGGTTTTCACGATAGTCATCGTGTAGTATGCTGGCTGTGGGATATATTGGAGAAAGATTTCTCTGAAGAAGAAAGGGGCTTATTTTTGAAGGTATATTTACTAATGCGATAACTAGAAGCGATTATTAATATAATCTTAATATTCCTGTTTACAGTTCGTTACAAGCTGCTCCAAATCACCTTTGCTGGGATTTGCATACTTAGAACCACCATTTTCGATTCGTTGCGTTGAAGTTGGCGATGACGAGGACACGGGTGACACAATTGGTATAAATATATATTATTTAAGAAATTTCTTCTTTATCTGTTATCATGTACGTGTAAATTGTTTTCTTTTTAAATCAGGTAGCGTAATCAGAGGATTCTTTACGATTCGTAAAAAAGATCCACAGAATCGTTTACCTACTTCATCCACGTGTTTCAATCTTCTTAAATTACCGAATTACCAAAAGAAAAGTACCTTGCGAGAGAAGTTACGTTATGCCGTCACTAGTAACACTGGTTTTGAACTTTCGTAATCGATAATTCATTCACAGTGAACGATGATTAATGAGATCGCTCAAAATACTTAACAAAAGTTTATACAAAGTGATTGAGTGGTGCCTGACCGCCGCGATACGAATTGTCATGAACTTTCAATCGAATAAAACTCCTGAACAGCAGATCTGCGAAAGACGCGAATGGAAATTACTGAAATTAAATCGAAAACTCGCACAAATTTTATGAGATATTGCATAAACTAACAAATCTATCACTTTTTCACTTTTGTACTTTTTGTTATCTCATTTGAACATGAAGAAATTCTTGATAAATCAGTTACAAACTGCTCACCTTTAATTGGTAATTATAATGAAAAATGAACAAATATTTCTCACTTCTTGAAATTCTCATGAGATTTGTTTCGTGTGTTTGTAATAACTACAATTATGTACCTATTTCATTATTCTGTCAATAGTTGAATCTTAAATCGGGTTAATTTAAATCTATACGTCTTTACTTCACTTCTGTAATAATTTTGTGGGTTTCAATTTTTAATTAACACACTCTCTCGCCAAATGGTAGATTACTTATGGTGTAAAGCACACTGTACCTCAATGAGCTTAATATTGCTAATACTTGTGCGCTTGTTAGTTTATAGTACCGTGAATTAATGTTAGACAATTAAACCACATAAATTATACGAGATAAGTGTTAAATGTTCGTACCCATTGGTGCCCAGGGAGTAATGAAAAAGAAAAGGAGAGATTTTCTAAAATTTTGGAACCATTTGCAGTTTGAGGTTCCATTTTAAGGAGACCTATTTTCTCAAAATTTTATACAAGTTTTTGAAATGATGTATAGAAGATGAAATTCATCCGTTTGGAAATATATGTGTACATAGAACGTCCACGGGCTCTTATGGGTTCAACAATCTCTAAGTGTCGTATAAAATTAAAAAATCAGTTTGTTCGAGTTGGACGAAATTGTGATGTTTGTTCTCCTACTTGAATGTTTCGAACTGAATTTCCTGTAATTATAGTATCTGCGGTCTTTTGTATAAGCAGAAGTGGTTGTAGAAGAGAAAGAGGGGAGCAGAAGGGCTGTTATCTGCTGTGTCGTCTGCGATATAGCGAGGAACATGTTATTATTAGAGTGAAATTTATTTTTCTTGCGATTCACCCATATTTCGGCGGATAGACTCGTAACATTATCGATGGAAATTCGGTCAGACCAAAGATAGAAGCCTATTTAATGTGAGATGAGATAATTCGAGATATAAACTTTTCATATTTTCCTACACGATCGTATGTAAGTTTTCAGGTCTGTATTCACAGATTGTATGTATATTGAATAAGGGTAATAACAAAACTGGGCGTTTCTATAATGATAGAATAAGTTTAAGGATGAGCTAGGTTTAATTGCATACTAACTGGTTCGTTAACATGCACATTGTGATCACTAGAAAAATTATCTTGGTTGTTCAGAGAAAAAGGAGAATCGAATTTAATAATAATTTTTGACCTTTGTTATTTTACAGCAGAGTTTTAATCGATTTGCTACTCTTGTAGTAATAATTGTGAATACATGCCTCCTAATTACATGTACAATTGAATGAAACAACAGATAGTACTCTTCTTTATGAGTATACTTATCATTAAAACAATACATGTATATGATAAATGTGGATATCGATACAGACATGGATATATGGAGTAAAATGTTAAATAAAACTGTTACGGTTGTAAGATAAGACCGATGAATTTTTTTCTCAATGCCTCTTCTTGGTAAACAGTTATTTTTCTTATTTTAAACATAATTTAAATTGTAGCGAAATATAAAATATCAGAAAATTAAAAAAAGTATAATCGATTTTTTCTTACAATCGTATCACTGATAGAAAATACGCTTTGTACATTGCTGGCTTGAATCGTTCGTATTTCTGTAACATTTTTTAATAAAAATGTATACATTATTGTGATGCAGCAAGAGAAAGAGTAGATTTATTAATTTAATACATTCAATAATGAATCGTGTAAATGTATCCAATTAACTGTACGATGTTTCTCAAACATTTATTTTAATATCCTTTATGAATTATTACCAATTTTTCCAATAAAAGATAAAAATTAAAAGGGCGAATATATTTGGAATTGAAAATACGTAACGGTTGTTTAATAATTCATTTATTTCCTTCAATAGATATGCGCAAAGTTAAAAGCAATAATTACTTTTGCCTGTATATAATAAATATTTTGCACGTTGTGTATTAATCAAATTAAACATCAAAGCGATAAAGAATTAATTAAGTGAAAAGCGCAAAAGTCGTAATCGAACGCGCATTTTCAATCATATTTACGAAGGGGACGCGAAGATTGCCGATTAGGCTGCGCAGTGAGCCACTGCGCCGGTCACGTGACTCCCTTTGTGAGCAGTTGGTGCTGTAGACGGCGCAGCTCGCCCCCCCCGCGGCCAGTGGCCAGCAAGCCTTGGCTGCAGGAAGACGTGTTCTTCGTTCGTACCGCGACGATCCTTCTATCGCGGCTACGCGAGAGACTCCTTTTCTCTTTCTCTCCCTCTCTCGCTTGTGTGCGCGCGCGTGTTTCGTGTTTGTGTGTGCGTGCTTGATCTCTACGAAGTGACAGTGTTTCTGACTCGGCCGTAGGACCCGGACAGTGAGAAATCCTCGGTTGTCGCGAACTACCGAATAATTCGGTTCTGCAGCCGGAATCGTGGCAGCCATCGAGGACTCGACCGAGCCTTTCAGTGTTCTCTCATTCCTTTCTCTGTTTCGCGCTACCGTATTTCTTTACGGACAAGCACCGCCCCCTTTCCACCTCCGTCCCTCCGATCGCAACGTTATGAGGCCAGCTGAGCGTAACTGACGGCGAAGAGGGAGAACGAGTGCGTGCGTGTGTCAAACATAACCTAAGTATTAACACCGTGAGTACCGTGACTACCCCGGATAAAACGTGGCTTAATCGTTTGAAATTTACTCATCGAGGAATGATAGCATCGCGTACTAAACCGTTAAACGCATCGAGGAGCCACGAAAGCATAGGTTCCTTTTCTGGCTGTTTCTGAAGAGAAATGCAACGCCCCGTTTATCTTTGACCGTGTCGTGGAAACGTGCACAAGGACATCGACTTTGTCTCTTTCTCGAAGGTTATCCTTGCACGTATCGTTTTTGTCATTGCGACGATAAAGGACGCGACCACAGCCGCTGCGTCGAGCGTGTTGTCACGAATTCCTCTTATCCCTCGTTTCCCGCAAGCTCAGCCCTTCCCGCCGTACCTATGAAAGCGCGCGACATTTAAACGCGAAGTTCGAAAACCGAGTGATACTGGAACATAGCTTTCCCCAAAAACCCGTTGCTACGGATCGACATTTAAATACCCGACGATTTTACACGTTCAAAGTAACAAGAATCACGAGTTTTTAAATAGTGTCATGGGACTAAAGAGTAATACGACACTGATTGACTTATAAAAAAAAAAAAACGTGTATTCGAATCGATAAGTCTCTTAATAGTGCAACACAATAATTCCGGCGTAATTTCGGTGAAACGGTGCTTCGGTTCGAACGAATGTCCTCATCGATAACGACTTCGACGACGCGTGTCGGTGTTGCGTGCGTGTAAGAATTCCAAGATAGAAGTGTTTCCTGGGGAAGGTGAAAGAGTGCTCGCGAGACGTAGGAACGGAAGAAATAAGGAACGAGTCGAGGCGTGTTCCGGCTTCCCTGAATCAGCAGGGACGTTGGCGGTGGCGGTGGCGGTGAATCGGGAAAGGGTTGAGGAGGGTGGCCCCTAGGGAGAGAGGAGAGCTTTGATGGCAGTAGTTGGGCCCAGCCGGCACTCGCGGGTGTCCATGAGCGTGTCTATGTCGCTAATGCAGGGGGGTGGGGCGGGGGCGACAGGCGGTGGCGGGACAACGGGGACCCATCCGGGGCAAGCGGTCCTCGCAGCGGCTGCCGCGGCCGCAGCTGCGGCCCAAGCACCCCCCACCTACTACCACCCTGCCGCTCCTGCACCCCCGCCGCCGCCGCCAGCCCAGGATCCCGTTCAGCCCGACAGACCCATCGGATATGGTGCCTTCGGCGTCGTATGGTGAGTACATTATATATTTTCAAGATTATATTAATTTGAATTTTTTTTATATGCAAAAAATGTTTTGAGACATGTAGCCAATATGGCGTTTTTGTGTCTTTTTAAATTTTCAAGTTTAAATTTCCGAATTCGGCCTCAGGGGTCCTTTAAACTTAGAGTAATATTAGCTCGACAAATTTTCTAAACATTTCAATCTCGAGGAAGGAACGTTCGACTAATTAGCGCCACTTTCCACGTTCGCTACGCGCCAAACGAGAGCTCTCTAGGATCCGCTAGAGAGAGTAAAACGCACTTTCCTCTTTAGCGTGTGCGTAAATCGTTGCCCCTTTCTCGAGTCGGTAATTTGTGAGTTCGATAAGCAGTATAAATCTCCGTTCATTTTTTCTCTCTTTTAAAATTCTCGCTACTTCGCGTCCAAGCAATAGTTTCTTGTAGCCTGCTGGGAAAATAGAGCGACGCATTGTCGCCTACGGTTGTTTGCTTGATTTATCTAATTTTAAGTAGATGCCGCGAGATACAATTTTAATTCCGGACACAATTTATCCAGTTCATCCGGTATCACGTTCGGGAACTTCTTCGCGGTCCGTGCTGCACTTTGGAACATTATCGATAATTCTGTCTCCCGATATTAGACAAATTACCTTTGAATTCGAATTTAGAGAGTATTTTACGTTATCGTTGAATTACGAAGGTTCGCTTCAGCTCATTAATCCTCCGCCGGTTCGTATCGATCGAAATTATGGTAATTCTTGGAGATTTGAACGAGAGCTAACGTTATACGATTGTTACCTTCGCGCTCTTTTGATTCGACGAGAAAAATGGAAAGTTAGAAAGACAACAGTCGATAACAATGCGACGCGGACCGCTCAATTTCTTTGTTTACCGATACGAGACGAGCAAAAAGGAAACGCGTTGACGATTCCGAGGGGTCTGGTATCTTTCCAACGCGAATGTTACGCGGCGCCAGTGTTAAATCTTTCATCGATTTTCCAATCGCGATCGTATGATAATATTCGCCTACTGAAATTGGCAAATCAAAGGGAAAATACGGAGTTCAGTGAAACGCGTTATAAATTACCGGCGAACGTAAATAAAATAAAGTTAAACGAGAATCGTGGTATAAGCAGGATTACGTAGTGAAAATATATATGGTCGCCAGCGGAAAGCAGCGTCATCGGTGTCGTTTACATACACACGAGGATTTAAGGTATGTAACAGGGAGATTCAACGAAATCGTTTCAGTCTTTCGTTATTCGTGCTGAATTTATCGCGTTAATTCAAGCGTGCTCGTTTGGAAAATATTTTCTACCGTCCTTTTGTCGAGCCAGAAACACGAACGAAAATGAGCCAGAGAAAGGTTAGGTACAATAGAAACTGCTCGTTTTCCTTTGTTTCCTCTTTTATATGGATTTACCTGGCCAGTAACGCGACAGCCAGTTCCTATGAGGTTTCGGTACAAGCTGTTGGGACTGAGGGAGAAACGACGGTAATTCAAAAACAGAGAAATAATTCCGGTGTGACCTGCGGTCCGTATAATTGCCGTTAGTTTACCTGAACCGGATGCACGATGGGTTTCATTACTGCATTCGGTTAATCCGGTGGACACTTGTTCGGCGCTGTAGCACCGAGACATTTTCTGTTTTACCACCGATATTTTACGATCGTACGAATTCGTGTAGCGTGGTTTAAACGAATGTTCAAAGAACGGTTTACAACAGTCACGTTCCTAGGATCCATATATTTGTTTTAGAGCCATAGAATATTAATAATAATATATTATATTAGAATATATTGATATTATAATGGCTGGTGTAGAGGGCTACTAATCTGAGGGCCCGAGTTCAAATCTCGCCGGGGGAGGACCCATTTTTTAAATTTTTTTTTACGGATTTTTACAATATTTTAGAGCCGTAGAATATTAATCATAATATTAAGAATAGTGTATAAATATTAGGGTAGTATTGGGGAGATCTTACATCTATTGATATTATAATGGCTGGTGTAGAGGACTACCAAACTGGGGGTCCGAGTTCAAATCCCACCGGGGGAGGACCCATTTTTTTTTCTTTTTTTTTAACGGATTTTTACAATATTAACAATACCAGTACTGAAACTTGATTAATAATTTATTTTAATGATATTAAAAATCTCGGTCGGTGAGAGGTCCGCGAGAAACGTGTAATCTCGAGTACTAATCTTTGAAGATGTTCACGTTTTAAAGAAGCCATTCTAAAAACTCGTAATTCCAAAGAAAACGACTCGTCATAAATTCTGAGCCCTGGGAATTTCGTGCGAAGAAAGCGCGGGAAACGTATACAACGCGTCAGCAGTTTCAAGAGGGTTAGAAACGCGGCGGGAGGTGAGGATCACCATGACGACCGCGGCATTCCGAGATAAGAAGGAATCGTGACCAGATTGCGTATACGAGCTTTCATGTTTAAATGAAGGATACTTACAGGTACCGCGATGCTGTACATTGCCTAATTAATATATTTTTTTCTCTTTGTGAGTTATTTGATCAAGAAAATAACGCTTATTCAAAAGTGGCTCAACTTTGAGTCGGTACGAATCGATTACACGATGAAACGTAGCTTATCAAATCTATCGAGTGTACAGACAATGACAAACTGTGACATTCAATTATTTGAAGATATAATCGGAGATTGTCGTACTCGAGATAATTGTATAATAGCATTGTTAGTGTTTTATCGAGGCAGAGTCGCTTCTTCTTTCATTTTCCTTGGATAATTAACACAATAATAAAAGTATATAAAACCCAAAGGTTAGCATTGAATATTTCTAAAGTGATGCAACTTCCTGACTTTCGAGGAAATGTAACTAGTGCAACTCGTTAGACGAGAAGGGGTAAAAGAGGTTAATGGAGGGAGCAGCGAGAGAGAGCCGGTCGCGAGACAGGGAAAAATCTTGTAAAAGTTTAATATTTATGGATTTAGGATTAATTCGAGAATCGCTGATGCGATTCAAATTTATGAGAATTGAAAAGTTGTATCTACGTTTTGCTATTTTTTTTCCCCCCCCCCTCGTTCTTAAACTTGTTTGAAGCATCCTGTTCACCGAAATTATTCCTTTTATTCTTTAGCTTACTTTCAGGGAGAGCGACCAACTTTAAATTGATACAGCCTAAGTGCTTTTATGTTACGAAATCTCTTTACATTTCGAAATTGGTCACTTAAAGCAATGTAGTTACACCGTTTGTTCGAAACAGCTTCCATAGAATCGCGAACAGAGGTCTACGAGTTGCGTTTTCACCTACGAAACAATGTTGCAACGAACAGAGAAACGTATGAAATCCGAACGATTTTACAGGTTAAAAGGCGGTCGCGTGACAATAGGTGAAAATGTGGCTTTCACATTTTTTCTTGTGGGTGGCGGTTCCCCCTCCTTTTCCGTTCTGTCCATCCTGTTTCAACGTTAATACCCGTTTTCCGAATAAACATCGTCTTTGTCATTCAAATGTGGTTACTCGATGCCAAGGGTTTCCGGTCTCTGTCTATTGTTACCGTTTACACCTACCCGCTATTATGACGTCGATCGTTGAAATTTGAAAGAAAACGAACGAAGAAATCTTTTCATTTTCTTCGTTTCTATCGCGTTACAGATACTTTTGATGGTTTTAAATCGTTGCCATTTCATCTTCAACAACTTAATAACTCGACAAGTCCTAGCGGAGTGTATATTGCTCTAAAATATTCATATTTTTATTATTACTCAGCTTTCTACGAGAAGAATTTCTGTATCTGTCGCGGGCGACAGAGAGAAATGAAGGAGAAAAATGAGTCGGCTCCACGTGGAAGCGTGTTAAACGAAAAATAACACCTGGAATATTATTCTCCGCTCTTGTTCCACGTGTCAAAGAACGAAAACTCGTCGTTGTCTCGTTCATTTTACCGCATATATTCGTCTCTGGCGGATTGTACCGGGCTGGAAATCCGTTTAAGCGGATTACATCGCGAAGCAGGCATTCGCGTTAGTTTAACAGCCGAGCAGCGACGAGAGTTTCTGCTTTACCAGCAACGATCATTTATTTTTTCAACCTGCAATTAGTAGCCTCTTTTCCAGCAGATTTCCTCGTTCAACTGATTGCAACACGCATCCTTGAGATATAGAATGAAAGTCGGTGCCGATTCAATTTTATCGCTGAATCGATTTAACCCCTTTTGCGATTGTAACTTTTCTACCTACGATCAATCGCTTCGAGTCATTTCTATTTCACACGGTGTAAATTAAATCAAATTTATTATTTCTAAGTTTCTCGATCAAAATTACTCGGAATTATTGGCCATGAAAGCGTTCATTTTCCTTTTCAACAGATTAGATACGATAGAACTTTGTCTATTCTATCTTCAGAGTGTCGTTGAACTTTGGGCCAAGTCCAAAATGTTCTTCTCGCCGGTAATTCGAATTTCCGTTTCACTGGCAATCTTTCAGACTTCACTTGGCATCCATAAGTACAATAAAATCGAAGTCATAATTACTTCACGGATATCAGAGTAAGGTTTTTCACATCGACAAAAGAATAATTCTTGATCAATCTTTTTCAAATCTGTACCCTTCGATTCTGAAGCTTGTTTTTCTGTCGAAAGCAAACTGTACTGTCGATTCCGACGGGGCCAATGATCGAGAGCTCGATGAACATTAGATGTTACACTGGCTTCATTTGAATTTGTAAGCAGGACAAGATGTTCCAAGCAGAATTTAAATAATCCTCTTTCGTCGGTCTTCGATCAAAGCATAGTTTTTTTCTGCCTTTCGTCGGATCACCCGCGAAAAGAGGAGCAGTTTATTTCATTTAGACTGGTATCATCGGAAAAAAGTATCGAAGCATTTATTTGCCGATGAAGATTCTGCTAAGTTGGATATTGAAGGAATGTTTCTCGATCTGCGAACGAGGAAGAGCGTCGCATTCTATCACTGCCCTCAATTAACGCGTTATCCACCTCAATATCGAGAAAGTTCATTGACCCAGGGATCGCATACTT